GGGGTATGGAGGACCAGAGCTACGAGACGAGGCTACTAAATTTAAACATGTTCACATTAGAGGTGAGGAGATTAAGGGGGGATATGATTTCCATGTACAAAATGTTTAATGGTGGTAGCAACATTAGCGATAAACTGTTTAAAATTAACTCCGTTACAAAAACTAGAGGCCATAACCTAAAATTGGTGGAAAAAAAATTCCAGCACAAGGTGCGAAGGGGGTTCTTCACAGTAAGATCAGTTAGGGTCTGGAACTCACTGCCACAGGCGGTGATTTCAGCAAATAATGTGGAATTGTTCAAGAAACTTTTGGACGATTTCTTAAGGGACCGTAATATACAGGGGTACGGGTACTCCTAGAATGAGATCCTAATAGGTTGGACTTGATGGACTAATGTCTTTATTCAACCTCAAATACTATGTAACTATGTAACTATGAGGTGACACCATATGATCCCTACCGTTATCTAATTTCCTGAAGGGCATTTAGCGCTGTACACTTCATTACACCATTATTCTGTAGGCTTTTAGCCTGAGTTCAGCAGTTTTTTTCCTTTTTGGTTTTAGAAATTTTAGCTCCGGGGTCATATTAATATCAATTTTAAATTTTAATCCATCTTAATTTAGTTTTACTATTTCCATTAGCGCAAGTTAGTTTGGTTCACCACAAACTATGCAGATTACTGCAAATACACCAGGAAATGTTTTATTTGTTTATTTTTGGAATTGTTCATACCAGTGTATTTGAAAATCAGGAAACAGTGATGAGCTACAGTTTTCAATGAAGGATGCTATTAAAGTGTCCATGCATGGCGCAATGTGTACTAGCAATGTGAACAAGAGCATCAGTGGTGAAAATTGAGCCATGTAGGTGTATAAGTGGACCAATACCTTAATTTTAACATGATAGATGAGATTAATAAATAGAGTGATAGAATGGCAGAAATGTTACCTTTCTGGAGAAAATGCAGCTCCAGGTTTATTCCAGTACTGCTTACATGATCAAATGCCTACCCATTTGAGAAAGGTAAGCTGTTTAATCAAACCACCCATCGGATATATATTTTTATGTTGCATGCATTATTGGTAATCAGTGCAAGTATAACACTTCCAGATATTTATCATTCACAGAGTTTACAGAACCTTTGTTAAACTCATCTCCTCCCTGATCCAGTACTGGTTCTCTGCAACTTGCAGCCACCAGCATTTCCAGGTGCTGCAGTCAGTCAGGTAACTGGTAATGCCTTAAAGGGCTAGGTGATACGCAGCTTTGTGTTCGAGCAACACATCTGCCTGAAGCAGAACCCCTGTGCCCTTCAAGACTTATCTGCACCCTTTGTTATAGACACCTCCTTGCTCCCCGAGTCCCAATGTCCCTCCGTGCCCCATGCCACACACTCAAGTTTCACCCCTGTGCCTCCTGACTCGTGTGTCTCCAGTGACCTCAGCATCACCAGTGACCCCTGCGCTCCAGTGACACCAGAGCTCCTCTGTCTTCAGTGACTACTGTGCCTCCAGTGACCCCAGCATCTCCAATGACCCCTTTGCCCCTGTGTCTCCTTTAACCCCAGCACTCGTGTCTCCAATGACCGCAGCATCTCCAGCGACCCTTGTGCTCCTGTTTCTTAACTCTTGTGTCTCCAGTGACCCCAGAACTCCTCTGTCTCCAGTGACTACTGTGTCTCCAGTTACCCCAGTATCTCCAGTGACTCCTCTGTCGCCAGTGACCCCATAGCTCATCTGTCTCCAGCGGATCCACCATTTCCAGTGACACCTGTGCTCCTGTTTCTCCATTGACTCCAGCACTCCTGTGTCTCCAGTGACACCAAAAAATCCTGTCTCACACAATGATCCCAGATTATTTGGTTTCATCCTTGAACCATCCACATCCTCTGTTTCGTTTCCGCAAGAGTAACCTCTGCAACCGGGCCACTCACATCTATCCCACGAAGAAAGTTGGACATCAAGACCTTTGTATTTACTGTATAAAAAAAGGACATTTCATTAAGCAATGTCCACAGCAGCTGGGGAACTCCATCGTCTAGCATGCCTGGAGAGGGATATGCAGATTAGTAAAGTTGCTGCAAACTCCACTTTAGGCTGCCAAGAACAGCATGAAGCTTGTGGATGGTAAGTACTGAAACATTGTTGTACAATGTCCATCTATATTTGACTCTGTTTTGTCTGAAGTCCCATGATAAATAGCAGGTAATGTGTTTGTAACCTGGCCATGTTAGTAAACTACTATGAGGACTTTTAATCGTTAAGTCTCTGCCTCATTGTACCCTTTTTCTATACATACTTTTTTGATCATACATATGGCATATTAAAAGGTGAGTACATTTAAAGATGTACAGTGATGTAGTTTTCTTCCACACTAAACTGTGGCTATTGTATTATCATAGTTGTCTCCGCCAACTGTCAAAATACTTGAACAGCGCCTTCAGCCGCTGTTCGGCCAACAATTTTAGGCCACTTCCTTCGATTTTTCAATTGAAGAATGTCAAACTGTAAGCAGCAAACGGGGCCACCTACTGATCAATTTTCATCGGATACTGGATGAAATTGGGTCATTGTATGGCCAGCTTTAGTCAGTTTTTCTGTATGTACTTGTTTGTTTTCTGGAAGCATGGAGTGTCATTTCTCAGTCACTTGCTGCATTAAACTTGCTGCAGCAGGGTGTGCTGGACATAAAATTCTGTGTTAAAGCTGAACTACACCCTCCTATGCTTTACAGCCAGGGAAGGTGCCATCTTAACCTCTATTTGAATTGCAGTTGTCATAGTGCTGCACATGTGATCAGCTATGACATCAGCCTTTTGAGGGCTTGAAAGTTTATTTGAGATCTGAAATAAGCTCACCTTCACAGCTATTACCAGAGACATTTCTTATTTCATATCGACCCCATATCGGTCGTCTGGGTCGTTATGGCGATAGTTCCGCCAATGGTCATAATTATCTGGAGTGCTGGAAAGATCTTCCCTCCTGGTGGAACCCTTTAAGATACTGGCTGCCATAAAGTTTCTTTTTGGGCCTAGAGAAAGCAATTTTCCCCCCATAATGGAAGCGGTGAGTGTCTGAGTAGGAAAGCAACACAGAATACTTTCCAAGCTATCTCACCCTGAATTCTGAGACTGAGATACCAATAGAACCTCAGTTGGCAAGGAGCCACATTGAAGCTCAGCCAGTATAGCCCTGTGAAAAAAAGGACCCAGAGTTTTTCTCCCACACAGGGCCAGCCCAGCCAGTATAACTCTGTGAAAGAAGGACCCAAATTGTTAGAAAGATATGGAAAAGGACAGTGTTCAAAGCAGAAATCTGAAGCTTTCCTGTGCTCCCACCACCCTGTTTCTGGTTCTCCATGAACTAGTGCAATAAAACTACAAAAATCATAACTAAAGTCACTGGCACCCATCATTCTGAACATTCAGAGAATAGAATCACTTCCTGAGAAGTGTCTGTAAAGGTTCTTATTCATCCAGGTGGTGGTATAGCTGTAAAAAATAAATCAAGGCAACTGAGCTTGCTGTATTTTTCTTGGAAACGTTTTGCTGGTCAACCGACTAGCTTTCTCAATTCAGAATAACTAGAAAAATCCTCTGGAAATAAATATGGTGAATGTTGCTCTAATCAACATAATCTGCTACACATATCCAGCATGGGGTTGGAGACCTTATGGAGGTAAGGTGTTGATTCCATTTGCATGTTTGGAGCTAACAGGTGTTATTAACCCACTCAAAGAGAGGTGTTAAAACATCATTGTATGTGGCAGACAATAGATGTCTCACCACCCAACCTCTGAAGGATAAGAAGAACACATATGAAGCACTAAGAAGAGACCCAAAACAACAAACTAGCTTTTTTGGACTGTTAAAAGAAGAAGAGAAAAGGAGGCTGGAAATAGAGGTCTACCGAAAACCAACACACATGGACCACCACCCTATAGACCACAAACTGGGAGTCATCAGGACTCTACATCACCGGGCAGAGAAAATACCCACCAGCACA